TGGAATATGGCTCTCTCTCTCTCTCTCTCTCTCTCTCTCTCTCTCAGCTGTGGGGAGTTACATTCATACGTACCGAGAAGAGAAGTGCCATGACAGTAGAGCACGGTGGAGAGAAAAGGCAAGTCTTGTTGTTGATAGAAATAGAGATTACATTTATTTGGGCACTAATAAAGAATCAAATAACCAGAAGAATAAAAATGAAAGCTATAAATTTGGTAGGAATTGGAAACCATCAGCAGCTTCTCAGGTTCCACCCACAAGTTTCAGTCTCCACAATTGGAAACCATGACCTGGTGATCTGCTTCCCCTTCACTTGCTTCTTCGTTAAGCAATAATCTCAGCTGGCATGGCAGCAAACCTTGCTCGCTTCTACAAGAATAGCCAATGAGAAAGAAGACAGGCTAAGTAACTATGATCCATCTATGCACTTCTTTCGGCAAATTCAATGAGATTATTACCTCCTTCTGGCCAGTTTCCATCGCCGGCAGCTTCGGCGCGCCACCATTCTTCGCCACACACAGCACCATAATCTTCTCCGCCGCCTCAGTGTCGTTCTTGCTTTCCTGCAACAGCTTCTCCATCTCGGCCTTCGGAATCCTCAACCTGAGGCGGACCGTGCCATCGCTACCCTCCTCCGCCTCGACCCGCGACGGCCTACCGGCGACCGAGACGTCCGACATGGTCCGGCGGGTAAACGCGAGGTTCTCCAGCCGCTCTCTGGCGCTCACGGGCAGCCCCCCGGACCAGGCCCTCCGCGGGGCTCGCTGCTCCGGCGCCCGGGGGAGCTGCACGAGAAAGTACAGCTTCCCGGGGTGCAACGGGGCGTCGGGAGCAAGCGGCCGGGCTCCAACCCCGAGCTGCTTCACCGCCTCGGACTCGAGGAGGTCGTAGCCCCGGTAGTCTCGGAGCAGATCCTCGGCCTGGACCGGAGCCTTCAGCTTCAAGGTGGTGCCGTCTATCTTCATCACCGTTATGGTTCGCTTCTTCCCGCTCAAGCCATTCCCCATCTCTCTTCTTCTTGGAGCTGCTGCTACTACTACAACTTCTTCTTCTTCTTCTTCATGGAGATGAGAAGCAATATATAGGAGAAGTTGTTTGGTCAAGGAATTGAAATGAAGCGAAATTGCTGGGAAGCTCTATGGCGGTGTTTTACTGCTGCAGTGAAGACCACGAGATCGCAGTTGGCATGTACGTGAGACGACGTCTTCGGTGCAACTCCATGCATGATTGGATCGAACGCACGACGGTCAAAGCAGGGTTTCATGAAGGTTCATTTGAAGTTTCTTACAGTCCAATATGTCACGTAAGGAAATGGTGATGCCAATGTGCTGATTCCTTTCACAAGGAAAGTGCCAAGTTTTGGTCATGCTTTCCTTTGACTTCTCTTCTCCCTCACAGTCAATTGACCAGTTTTCTCCAACCTTCATGTCTCCTATGGAGGAAGACAAAGCTCCTGTGAACGAAGAACTAGAAAGGTTAATCTCTCAATAATGTCACGTATCTACTCATCTGCGTTTCTGTATATCTAAATAATTACATATCATGTATCTACTTATCTGTATATCTGTGTATCTAATTATTCACACATTATGTTCATAGTCGATAGGAGGGTTTAGAATAATTCAATAGGAGAGTCTCAACATAATCATAAAATGATTCTTTAATCCATATCTTGTAGAATTATATGTCCCATGTAGGAAGAACCAATCTACTTCCATCTGACCAAACTTTTCATTGACATAGACCATTCATAAAAGGATGCATATGGGACCATGTCAAACATGATCACCTAGGTTTGGATTCATATATCTTTGTTGGTGTCATAGGAAGAATCATTCTTAGCTATGACCAATGTGACTTTTGTGTTTCATGTGCCAATCAACGACAACGAAATATAGACTTCCCCTAATTTTTCTCGTATTTGTTCCCACCTTCTTTCAACAACATGTGTAGATGAGAAAGATAGAGCTCGAATGAGTCCACCAAACCTCACGTCTTCTCCCTGTCTTCCAACGAGTAGTCATCGCTCGTTCTTCTAAGCTTTTGAGAATTGACGAATGAAGAGTTACTACAACATATACACTTTGAGAGATTTGAGACACAAATGACTTGAATATTTTGTTTATTGGGCCATCAATTCATGTGTAGAATAAGATAGAAGGATGTATGTGTTTCTTCACTATGGAAATCAATAAATATGATCATCATGTGGATCAGTTAAGCTACATGTTGTTATTAAGACAAATCACGAAAATATATATGACATGTTCATTGAACTTTAGGAGAGGGAGAACACATCCATACCAAAAGAATAATCCAAAGAACCAATAACAAAATATAAATATAAAGATAAACTAGTACAAAACTTATGTGATTCGGTGTATCGTATCTACGTCTAAGAAAATAAAAACTCATTTTTCATGTGAGAATAAATTATAAGTGTTGAGTTGATAAGTGTTTTTGGATTTATGGAGGTAGTGTACTTTGAGGAAAATGAATCATAGTATAAAAAGACTTTCTTTGTGAAGGAAAGAAACTTCAAAAAATAAAATATGAGAAATACTTTGAATGTTTTTTTTATCTCAAAAGGATGAGAGAAATAATAATAATTTTTTTAAAGAATTTATATAAGATGGTATAAAAGGGATTTGTGCTTGAGTTCGATTAACCCTAAGATTACTTATAATCGATCTATATAGCGGTGAATTTGATATTCTCTATAAATATAGATAGGAATGTCGAAACCACGTAAATCTTTTATTAACTCAAATATGTTCTTTGATGTTGATATTTGAGATTTATCTCTTAATTTTGAAGCCTTCTTGATCCCTAATAATAAGCTTATAAATCCCTTTATACGTATATTGATATAAACACAAACAATTTTCTCATCGTCTTTACGTCTACTAGACAAAAATCCTTTGAGCAATTAAAGAGCTATCTCTCATTTTCTCTTATTGAAACTTAAAAATAAATAAGTTATTTATAGAATAAAAACGTTATTACTTCAAAAATTTATATACTTAATTTCTCATCTTCCAAGTATAATAATTTAATAAATCCAAAAACAATTACCAATCCAAAAACAATATTCATCAGTGATGTGTGTCTATGTCCCAAATTTTATGAAACAAAATATATTTCGAATTGTATAATATTACAATTAAAATACTTATCAAACACCTGTGATTCCAAAGTAACTTAGAGGACCATATGCAACAAAATAGAGAGACATATTTCTTGGTGCTGCCACCAATGACATATCGGTCTTTGGTCTTCCCATCTTTTCTACTTGTGGGAAAGATTGACTTGACCAAGAATTATTAGTATTGAACATTTCTTTGTCTTCCTACCACATTGAATTCTGCCTGTAGGAACACTTGTGACTCTCAGCAGCCTCTGAGTGATTGATCAAAGAAGCATCACATTCATAGGAAAGAGAAATCTTGAGGCACATATAAATAATTAAATAGTACATATATTATTATTTTTATTTATTTTTTTAAAAGAAAATAATGTCTATAAACTATAATAGCTAAATGTTGTCGATGTCTTGCTTTTGAGAGGACAGTGAAATAAGACTTGAAAGCTCAACATAAGGGAGTTATAACTTCAATGGTGTCTCACTCAAGCAAATCAACTAAGCCCATGACAAGTAGAAAGAACGATATGAACCTTTTAAAGCACACTTGTTTGTTCAACACCACAGGACAACCTTCAATGGAATAAGAAGCTTGAATGTTTCTAACACACCACAGTTACATCAAAGAAACTACAAACTCAAGAACACACAAGGCGGTATCCATCAGAAGGCATGCTTTGCTTTTGGTCACTGTCCTTCCCCAGATTCTTGTTTTGGGGCTTCTTTGATCTCGTCCCCGACATCATCCTGGCAACCGAGAACATTAGGAAGGCGGTAAGGGTGTGTGCCGGACAAAGGGAAAATAAATTGGAAGCAAAATAAGCTTGTTAGAGAACTGACATTGATGTCGGAAGTCCATAAGGTCAGGTTGTCGCGAAGAAGCTGCATGATCAATGTGCTATCCTTGTACGATTCCTCGCTAAGAGTGTCCAACTCTGAAATAGCCTCGTCAAATGCCTGTGAAAGACAAACCACCATTTAAATCAGCAACCAGCAATATCAAATCATCACCTGGTAGCCTGGAAGGCTGGCAGAACAAAATATAAATGGTTCTGAAATAAATACTAATGCATAATTGTCATCATCTGGAAAATTGAAGCAAAATCTACTAATATGAGATGGTGATTAGCATTTCAAAATTTTAAGCTGCAAAATTAGTATAGCTCTTAATACCTCACACCTTCATGACTATTAAAGGTCCAATATCTGGCTGAATTATTAAATTTCTAGTACTTTATAATTAAAGGTTCTGGGGTACAATCATGGTTTGATTTTTTGCTGAAACTAAAATATATCGATTAAATAAGTTGGTTTTAGCCAAACTTTGTCCAGTTTTGCATTCGTTCCAGCAACCCTATCCGAAATTGAGCATTTCCATTCAAGTTTTAGTGATTTTCCCTTGAGCTAAAATATAGTTACTTTTCCTACAAGCATAAAAAATACTTCACTAGTTTCAAACTTTCATTTCATATGTATCAAAAGCCATCCATAATTCAAGAAAAGTTCTGCCTTTGCAAGAACACATCATTATATCAGAAAGGTTTTTCTGAATATGTTCACACTCATCTTAGAAAATATCAATCACCGAGACAAAGTACGCAGGACATCTTCAACGAGACTAATAATTAAGCATGATTATTTCTTACCACCCCAATTGTTCAAACATAAACATGCAACCAATCCTTATGATACCTAAATGAAAACACTGAATTGCCAAAACAAATTTACATGCACCAACAGTACAACATGCATTCGGGCACCTTGAACGCAGCTACTACGACTCACATAGGTAGCGTTTCTTTATTAAAAAATCTCAAAGAAGCACTTATAGGTAATATTATCATTTTTCATTCTATTTAAATAAGAATGAATAACAGATATTGATGGAATAAAAATATTATGAAAAAGAAAACAAGCATCACTAAAAGAAATGTGAAATATATGAACCAAAATGGGAAAGAGCAGTTAGTTGCAAGTAGACCGAGTCTTTAGTTATAGATAGAGCTCAACAGGAGACTAGATAAGCTGACCAGGTCATGTTATCAAAAGTAGTTCAGTTAGGGTTATAGAATATCTAGGTCAACCTCTGTTTCTCCTTCTTTCCTGTTCTCTACTAACTCCAAACTCCTAACTCCTAACTCCTAGGGTTATAGAACTGATAGTCTAAAGTACAAACTGTAATTAATTTACAAAAATCTTGAACTACATAGTACTACCTCAAAAGCTAATATTATATACAAGAATTTGCAGTCTTTAATTTAATTTGTGCAGTCACTGATTACAACTAATATATTTAAAATTTTTTGAAACATATAATAATAATATAACTACCAGGAACCAGACATATAAGTGAATAGTATGTAACTATATTTAACCCATAAAAAATTATGAAAATTTAAGTTCCTCAATAAAATAACTTGAATTGAAACTGCATGTAATTTACTGACAGCGCTTTGGCATTCTAGAAAACTTTGATAAATTACTACACGCCTTAACAAAGGCCTGGTCACAATGAAGTCTCAGCTCTTTCAAGCTGGTTCAGGCCCAACTTCAGGATCTTAGACTTGCTTTGTTTCCCAAAACGGGCTCCAGCCTGACTCAGCCAGTTGACACCCATACTACTGAATCAAGACACTAAATGCTTAGGATGCAGCAAATCATAAAACTGACACTTCTATTGTAACCATAGAAAATAGTGCACAACATTTCAAATCTAAGGATTTTAAAAGTACAACAAAATAAGATTATAATACAAGTACAGAAAAAGGTAAGATTATAGTCAAACCTGTTTTGCAAGGCTGCAAGCACGATCAGGTGAGTTCACAATTTCATAATAGAACACTGAGAAATTAAGAGCCAGCCCCAACCTAATAGGATGAGTTGGAGCCAACTCAGCCAGGGCAATATCCTACAAAATTTTTATAGATAATTTAGTGAAAAATTATTATTTTAAAAGAAACAACAATAAAACGATAAGTTTTATTAGACGAAAATGAAGAATGTAGACCTGCCTTGATAGGCAGAATCATTCAGTAGGTTATCGAGTGGTCATGTGTCTAGACTATCAAGAAAATTCTAACAAAGTCAAGCCATCCATAAGGGATTTTAGCTAATCTGCATTGTGAAGAGAATGAGGATCAAACCTGAGCAGAATTATAGGCTACCAGCGTACTCTCTGCAGCCTCCTTCCTTTCATTTCCAGTCTTAAACTCTGCAAGGTACCTAATTGCAATAAACGTTTAGCACTTCAGATAAATAAAATGTCACCCCACAAAACAAATTGAAGTCATCCTTTGTTATTTTCTAGAACCTGTGGTAATCGCCCTTCATCTTCAAGTAAAACACCTTGGACTCGGCAGCAGTGGAAGAGGGTATCAGGTGGGACTCAAGCAGCTTAAGGATGCCATCACAGATTTTGCTGAGTTCAGCCTCGATCTTGCCACGATATTCCTTGATCACGGAAACATGATCCTCATTCCCACGGCTCTCTTCCTTCTGCTCGATCGAGGAGATGATGCGCCATGAGGCCCTGCGAGCCCCGATGACATTCTTGTAAGCCACAGATAAGAGGTTGCGCTCCTCTACAGTGAGCTCCTCGACGTCCACTGTCTTTGCAACCTTCTCCATGAACTCCACCATCTCCTCGTAGCGTTCTGCCTGCTCGGCCAGCTTCGCCATGTACACATTGTCCGCACGGGATGATTCAGCCGGAGACATCCTTCCTCCCTCTGTATAAACCTAGCCCGCAACTCTTACAAAATCTGCAATTTGACGGATCCAAACCAAAACATCAAATAAAAGAAGATTTTTTTCCTCTCGTCGGTATCTGTCTTGATCCACAAGACAAACAAAAAAAAAAACTGATTTTGAGAGACTGAATGTTTGAAAAAGAGCATCTTTACTCTCTCAGAGAAGCATCAAAGATTCAATTCCAGAAACAAAATACAAAAAAACTAATTTTTCTGTAGTAGGGATCAGGAATTCTTGATTCCGATGTATATTTGCCAAGCAACAAGTTGCAACGGATCGAGAACATGGTCGAAAATGACATAGAATCGAAAGAAGAAAACCGATTACCAGAAGTAAACATACCCTGTAGAACCAGTCAAACCAAAACATCAAAGAAAAGAAGAATTTTTTCCTCTCTTCGGTATCCGTCTGGATCCACAAGACAAACAAAAAAAAACCGATTTTGAGAGATTGAATGCTCGAAAAATAGCATCCTTACTCTCTCAGAGAAGCAGCAAAGATTCAATTCCAGAAACAAAATACAAAAAACACTAATTTTTCTATAATAGGGCTCAGGAATTCTTGATTCCGATACATATTTGCCAAGCAACAAGTTTTAACGGATCGAGAACATGGTCGAAAATGACGAAGAATCGAAAGAAGAAAACCGATTACCAGAAGTAAACATACCCTGTAGAACCAGTCAGATCGATCTGATCACAAAAACAAGCGAGAGAAGAATGGAGATCAACAGACTAGATCGATGTGAGAGGCTTAGGAGAGGTACCTCGGAACTGAATCGGCAGGAGAACAACGAAAACAACTGCGCAAAACACTCTCCCTCTCTATCCCTCTCTCTCTCTCTCTGTGATTCGATTTCTATTGGCGCTCGGGTTTAAAGGGGGCGGGGGTGAGAATGAGAGGCCCGTCGAGTCCATCTAGAAGAACTCGCTCCCATACGGTCAACGATCCATCGACGTGGAGACACATGGATGACAGGCTTTTCCAAATGTAGCGACAAAGAATTCCAAAGCCTATCATCCTATCCAATTAAAAAGCTCTCATATTTTAATTACTATAAGAAAACAATTAAAGGAAAATTTGTTGCTTAATATTTAATTCCCAACTTATAAATTTCAACACCAAATATCAGTCCATAGTGACTGACAAATCAACTTTCATATTTATTAATTTTAAATATTAAAAAAAAATGCTAATAAAGATATGCAAATTCTAAATAAATATTTTTGATTTAGGAGAAAATAAAATTAAAATCAAATGTGTTATGAAAATTTAAGAACTTATCTTCAAACAAAATAAATACTTCTATTTATTTTTTGATATATAAACATTTTAATTAGTGAACCGAGCTGATTGTTTCGATCGAATTTTATACCTATAATGAAAATATATTCAAAAAACAAATTGACATCCCTAATTGCTTTACAAGCTGTATGGGCTGTTACAGATGTTTGAGGGAGTGATTCTGCTCTGCCACAATTCCCCACATTATGCATCTCATTCTCTGTGTGTTCATGTGTTTCTGAGAAGTTGAGATCCAATCTTTCTCAGTCAAAGAACTGAGAAAGCAGATCATGTTGGAAAGACTGACAACTCTGGTAAAGAACTCGCCACCCTTTATAGGGAATTTAACAATATTTTCAAAGAAATAAAAAGGGTGATTTCTTTGAAAATTTCATTTTTTTTTTGTTTTTCTCCATAAAATCTATATATATTTTTATTTTTCTAATATAGTAACCCTAATTTTTGTAATTTCAAAAATACCTTTTCCTTCGCCGCCCCGGTCGCCCACCGCCTCTACCTTTGCTCTCCCGACGATCCGTCGTTCCCCTTTCCATCATCGGTCCTGTCGTAGGTGGGCGGCGGAGGCGGAGGCGGAGGCGGAGGTGGAAGTAGCGACGGCACAACAAGGGGTAGCGTTGCGGTGGGAACGGGAGACATCGCTGGTTCGCCAATCACGGGGAAGAGCCCACAGATGCGGAGGTGATGGCGTCACAGAGTGCTTAACGATTAGCTATGATATGGTTGATATATTTGGAATTATAATATCAAGTATTAATTTTTAGATTAATTTCATTAATTGTACGACTATTTAATACTCGACTTAAAATGATGAAATCGGGAGGATTTCCGATGACTGTGACTTAACCTGAACTGTTCGATACAGTGATACCCACTTCGGTAGCGCCACAGAGTCAATGGGCGGGCTCCACGTATACGTGTACCCTTGAGAGAAGTGAATCCATGGTATCGTGGTTGGCCATAGCGTGGACCCACCCGCGAATCCATCGTATTCGCGGTTGACAAGGACGGTGGATTATGCGGGTATGGCATTGTGGCCCGCAAACAGTGTGGTTGATGACGAAAATTAGACCAACGCCTTCAGCCCTTCTCCTGTTCCTATTTCTCCTGAGCCCAAACGGCACACATCAAACCGCCATTCTCTCGCTCTCTCGATCTCCGGTTCACTCCTTGGTCGCTTCGTCGGCATCGGGCGACGAGAAGCTTCAATTGGACCTGCGAATTGGCCGTCGTCGACGACCGACCTCGCTGTAAAGCGCGCGTTCGGACAGGGCCATCGAAACCCTAGGGGCCGGTCTCCGCTTCAATTACTGAGCGCCGGCGGCGGCGGAGGAGGCGGAGGGGAGGGCGATGGCTGCGGAGCTGGGGCAGCAGACGGTGGAGTTCTCCGCGCTGGTCCGGCGGGCTGCGGAGGACTCTTACCTCGCCCTCAAGGAGCTGGTGGAGCGGTCCCGGACGCCGGAGGACCTGCGATCCGACTCCGAGAAGAAGATTGATCTCCTCAAGTTCATCGTGAAGACCCGGCAGCGGATGCTCCGCCTTCATGTGCTTGCCAAGTGGTGCCAACAGGTTACTTGCCTTCTCTTCGTGCTTCTTTGTCGCTTGCTCTGAACTGGCTTTTGGCGTTGGGTTTCTGGATGAGATCCTTCTTTTTGTGGTTTCTAGGCTCTGGTAGATGGAAAGCAGCTTCCTTTCTAATTCCTGGTATGAATGTAGACTACTCTCTGTACTAATACGTTTAATTGGGGGATGATTAGGAAAACCTAGTACCGGACATAACTTGTTCTGGACCCTAACATCTTTTTGTTCGAATCCCCAACGCTGGTGCTTAGACTGTTTTTAATGTATTAGTAGCTCAAAAACAACAGATGATGATGCTGTAACGTATTAGACTGTTTGTAATGTTTGAATTAATTAAGTCAGAAAAATAAGAAATAAAAAAAGGGCCATGTTAGTAGTGAAGAACTGAAGATAAGGGCCCACAAAAGGCTGTCTAGGAATGAGACAGTGGGTAGGGTGATGTTTTGCAAGCCACTCAATTGGTGGCTTTAAGAATTAGATGCACCAGTAGCTCTCATTTGCCTCGAGATTGCTAGGAGAGTTGGCCATCCCCTAATACCTTATAATTCCTCTTCTTGCTCTCAATTAACCACAATACCTGTTATGTCATGGAGTTGATAGTTCTTAAAACACTTGATAGAAGTTTGATTCACTACATCCTTTAATGATTTCTTTAATATTTTTTTTGAATTATAAAGCAGGAGGCAAATGGGAAAAAGTTAGTTGTAATCCTAAGCATGCAATCAACATGCTTTATCTTGTAGTTGGCTAACAATTTTTAGGTTGATCCTAAGGTTGTATCTGTTACTTGTCCAATTTTCTTGTAGTGGGCCAAGGATTGCTATGCTAATTGACATGGGTTGATCATGGCCTTTCAAAAAGGTATTCACACATGTTATTCTGAGTCATTGTAGCTGTCAGCACATGCCTATGCAAAATTTTGGCTTGTAAAGGTTGGTGGAGGAGAATGTCAACTGCCATGGCATGGTGATATTTTAGAAAGGTGTTGCCAATCTCTGCTGCCATGGAACAACAATCCTTTCACCGAACCTACAAAATGACTCTTGTTGAACAGTCCTGAAGATACACTTTTATCTAACTTGGTTACCTGACTGTTAACACTTATGATTCACTGAATGCAACATTGTAAAGTATGTACTTTGGCTTGGATGGAAATATGATGAATAAATTTTGGTGTTTACATTGAGGATTTGCATCAATAATCAAGTTATGATTTTAGAAAATTAAGCTACTTTAGTCTCATTGGGGTTCTGGAATATTGATTCTTAACGAACCTATTTACTGCCCATTCTTGTCATAACAGAACTTAGATTCTGACTTTTGCAGGTGCCATTAATTCAATATTGCCAACAACTTGCAGCAACTCTTTCGAGCCATGAAACTTGCTTCACCCAAACGGCAGATTCATTGTTTTTCATGCATGAGGGTCTGCAGCATGCACGTGCTCCTATTTTTGATGTTCCATCTGCTACTGAAGTCCTCCTCACAGGAAGTTATCAACGGCTGCCAAAATGCATAGATGATTTGGGTATTCAGAGTTCACTATCTGAGGACGAGCAAAAGCCTACTTTAAAGAAGTTGGATACAATCCTCCGATCCAAACTTTTAGAGGTTGTACTTCCTAAAGAAATAACTGAAGTAACTGTTTCTAATGGTACTGCTGTTCTTCGTGTGGATGGGGAATTTAAGGTTTTCCTTACCTTGGGTTATCGTGGGCATTTGTCATTGTGGAGGATCCTACACTTGGAGTTGCTTGTTGGGGAGAAGAATGGAAATATTCGACTTGAAGAAACACGGAGATATGCTCTTGGGGATGATCTTGAGCGCAGAATGGCTGCAGCTGAAAATCCTTTATCAATTTTGTACACGGTTCTCCATGAATTATGTGTTGCCCTTGTTATGGACACTGTACTAAGACAAGTTCAGGTACTACGACAAGGTAGGTGGAAGGATGCAATACGCTTTGAGCTTGTTTCTGATGGCAGTGCAGGACAAGTAGGGAATACTAGTGCTTTGCAACTAACTCAAGAGGGTGAACTTGATACAACTGGTCTAAAAACTCCTGGTTTAAAGATCATTTATTGGTTAGACGCTGACAAGAATGCTGGGGGATCTGATTTCAGCTCATGTCCATTCCTTAAAGTGGAACCAGGGCAAGATACACAGATTAAGTGTGTACATAGTTCTTTTGTATTAGATCCACTTACTGGCAAGGAAGCTACCTTTGCACTTGATCAAAATTGCATTGATGTTGAGAGACTCCTATTAAGAGCTATTGCATGCAATAGATACACTCGTCTACTTGAGATCCAGAGGGAATTGAGTAAAAGTGTTAACATTTGTCGAGAATCAGGCGATGTTGTACTTGGGTGTGATGGAGGTGTAGTGGCGGATTTGAGAAAGGTTTGTAAAGGGGCAACTTATACTTCCAATTGTTATATAGGTTCATCTATGTCTAAAGTATATGTATAGATTTTATAATGGGGGTCTTTACTATCAATATCGAGTTATACTTTGTTTTGCTTGTAGCCACTGATTTTCTGAACTCTTTGCTGAAGGACTAAGTGGTTCTAGTAAAAATATTTGAAGGTGCTGGTCTATGTCACTGTTGACTACATGGTCTCATTCTTATTGTCTATGTTTTGTTTGGATTTTTTTTTTCTCCCATCTGATCATGTATATTCAGAATTCAGAAGACCAACTAATTGGTGCATTAAAAAGTCCCCACACAATTGGCCAAAGCACTTAGTTTATCTATTTGTATTTCATCGACATTCATACAAACTCCAATATCTCAAGTAAATGCAATTAAATTTTGCAATTATTATCAAAGTGTCACAAATCATGCGTGTAAGGTAAATGTTTTTGGCTTACAGATCATTGTGTACCAAATAACTCACCATAACATACCTGTTGGAAAGAATTAATTCTGGGGTTTAGGAAATAGAGTTGGAATGAGGAATGTTTATACAGGTAGGCTTTTCTAGCTGCAGGCTGTGGTTAATTCTGTTTTTCATGTATCTGTGAGGTAAAAGATCAAAAAACATTGGGGTTTGGAACATAAGATCAGTGCTAATGGAGGCTACTACAATCCAGATGTTTATCTAAGGAATTTTGGTGATACAAGGAGGAATTATGTTAATTCAAGCTATCATTTTCTTTGTAGAGGTCTAAAATATGTTTAGGGACATTTAATCTTTTTACAACAGTCTCTTTTCATGTTTAGTGCCATTAAGTAGTCATGTCATGCTTTTGTTCCATGAACTTGAAGGCTGGCTTTTTATGTGGACACAAAATTTACATGTACAATTATTAACTGTATGTCTGTGAGTCATTGATATTTCTAGCATGAATGCGTCTTTCTTGTTCTTAATACACACTGAATGACCCAGTTTCATGGTCTCCTCAAGGTTATGGTTGTTAATTTTGATTTTGAATGCTATCACAATGATCTTCCATCATAAATTTTACTTACTTTCTTTTGCATATGCCTAACCACATCACGGTGGATGCAACATTTTGTTCAGAATAACATACTTTTAGCAGGTGACTTTACAAACTTGGGCTCCTTCCAAGTCCTTGGACCCTCATGATGTATAACCTCTTGACCATGTTACAAATTTTGGTGGAAAGAGAAAACAAAAAAGATTAGTATTGACTCATTGCCTCATCATAAATTCACTTGTCAGTTTATATCTGCTCCATCATAACTAGTTGATTAAGGATACAGCAAAGAGCAAAGGAGGCCTATTGCCTATCCTTATATTGGTGTCTGTAAGAAGCTTCATTTTCTGTTGAAGAGCAACTTCCATGTATGAAAATTTGATTTGGAGTAATCATTTGTAATTGTTATACCTTAGAACAAATAACTGAAGAATTATATGCCATTAATGAAAGCATCTCTAATTGGATATTATGATTTATCCTGCCTACTAGCTGAGGTTTCTGGAAAGTTAAACAAGAAGAGGTTCAGTCATCCTTCTCTTAAATATTTGTCAACTGCCTCTTTTTGTTTTCTCTGATGTCTAACACTGCATTACTTAAATTTGGTCATCCGTATGGTAGTATAAAATACAGACAATGTTGGTTTGAGTTTTTGTCCAATTTAGTGAGAGATGGATTAACTTCATTTGTGGTTTTTCAACTACAAATGATATAAAAGAATGATTAGGCTCTATTTAACAGTTACTTTTGCCCCCTACAATTTCATTTGCTGTTTTGATAGTTCATAGTTGATCATATTTTCTTCCAAACATCTGTTTATTCTTAACAAGTCATCTTCATGAGCACAAAATGGCTAATTAAGTTGAAACCTTTAAGAAACAAGGGAGTCAAATGGAATTTTTCTTTTGACAGTTCTTGATAGTTTTCTCACTTAACTAGTATATAATTACTAGATTGGGATTTCATAATAGATATATAATTAGTGTTTGTTTGATCATCTTCATTATCTCTAAGATTAAATGAAATAATGCTGAACAAGCTGTCAATTATGTTTCTTGGTTTTGACTTGAAAGTTCTATGCTTATTCTTTCATGAGAACATGAATATTCCAAGTAGCTTTTTGACTTTTAAGTATTCTGCAGATGGATGAAGATTCTAGTAACCAAGATTATTTTGGGGATGAAATACTGAAAGTGCGGGCTTGTGGGATGTCATTTATTACCCTTGGAATAAATATCAGGTTATTTAATCTTTTACTCCTGTAACATCAGGAATTCATGCTTTATATTAAACGGTGTTCTGTCAAAGTTTAGCTTCATGGTGAACAACTTCAACAAGATTTATGTGTGTGATATCTCTTGCAGGAAATCTTTTTTTTTTTTTTTAACTTTCAGTTAAGTAAATACGTTCTGTAACAACCATATATGTTTCATGTTTCCCCCAAAATCTGAGCATCACAAGTGATCTCAAATTTCCTCTGACTATGTGTTTCAATGTAAATTTCTTGAGAAACCAAGGATTAACATATTATGCATTACATATTGTTCACATGTAAGTCTGGTGTTTTTCTCAATATTACAGAAAGGTAACTTTACATTTACGGTGCCTTTTTGGACATTGTTGTGTTATTTATTTTAACCAAATGCACAATTTCATACCAGCATGTGTTTTGATTACTTTATTTAATAAACACTTAGCACGCATCTAGGACTGAAGGTCATGTTCTTTTTTTTTTTTCAAGTGAATATTTACTTATTTAGTGTATAAAGTTTTTGAATAATAATTCCATATTTATATGCATTAGGTTGGCATTCGTGTATTTAGACTAATTTGGTATGATCTTGCTTTACCATGATGTCTTGTGCTGGCCTTCATGCCAGTGACAATTGTGAATTCCTGCTAATGATAACATCTGGGACATGCAAGTTGCATGCAACTGAGAGGCTTATATGCACAAGGGCAATTATGGTATGTGAGTGCTCACAATCATACTTTGGACTTATATAACCGTCATGGTGAGCATGTATCTGACTCTCTTCCCACAACCCGCATTGCGGTTGCCTTATGTACTGGGCTTACCCTTTTTTGGTATGGTGATGGTGCACATGGTTCCATTGCATAAACTATTACTTTATTGTAGATAAGTTCATAACACTTGATAAAACTGTAGGGGACAGTGCCTATGTTAGCTTTATGTGATGGGCACGCTAAGAAAGTGTATCTACTTAGTATAAGAAACTCACATTATCAATGATATCCCGGGCTTCTGATCTTTTACAATGTGACCATCTTCTTCTGTCATTTTTTCTGAACTTGGCTGAATGGTCTGTTAAAGGGGGAACACTTGCAAAATATCTAGTGGAAACAATGTTGTTAAGTTTTTACTAATTGAAAGACACCATAGTTCTAGTTTATTCTACACATATATGGTGCTATCCAGTGCATATTCCATTAGCTCCTGCATCTGCATTGTTGTCTGCTGTCTTCAACATACACCTACCAGATTTTCTTGTATAGGGTTATGTTAATTAATTACTTCTTCATACCTGACTTTTGTTTTCCAAAAACTGAAAATTAGCTGGCAGTTGCTTTCCTCTTAATAATTTGCACTAGGAGGTGCAATTTTGATGTATCCAACTTAATTATTAAAATTTTCAACCTTGGTCAAAGGACCATTAATTTTTAGATTGTTTTCTGGTAAATTTTCCCAGGAATAGCAAGTTGAGATAGAACCTTGGCATTATGTTTCTGAAGTGGTTCTATGTGAATTTGAGGATCTGGAAAATGAAAATTGATGTTACATATAGTAACTCAAACATATGCCATATTACATCCTTAAGAGGCATAATCCAATTGTCACAATTTAAACTTCTCAAAATTTTATCCTGGATTTTATTTTAGATCAAACTCTTCTTTTCAAGCTTTCTTGACAATCTTGTTGTCATTAGTTACAGTTCCAATGACACTGTTGCTTCTAAATTCAAAGCTGCAGACAAAAGCAACACACTCTTTGTGGATTTATATTAGTGTTACATCTTCATGTTTTTTAACAAGAATGCTGTTTTCATAATACCCGAGTAAATAAACAATATGCTGTACAAGATCTATAGAAGGACCTGTAACAATAATAGCAGGAACATCATATATTTACTATTTATGATCCCAAGAACAAATATATGGTATAGTAGTATTATATTTTAGGGGGTCTTGGTTAAGTCCACCAGTAGTTTATTGTGGTAAGACAGTATTCACATGGTGTTGTAAGCTGTTCCGAGGGTGTTTTTGGCTCACTGTTTTGTGTATTATTAATTTGACCCAAGAGAGGATTTGTGTCCATCATCTTGTTCAGCTATCGTGTGTGTTTACGTTTCATCTAAACTTGTGATGTTTCTAATAAATTAATAAATTAATTAATAAAATAAATAAATAATATATATATATATATATATGTATATATATATAT